GCCCAGGGATTGTGTCTGCTTCATTCCTTGAGTCAGGCTAAGTGTCTCCAAAAGTGCCTGCCTGTGGTAGGAGCTGAATGCACATTGTCGAGTAAGTGAGCTCCAACCAGAACCATCCCAGCCATCTGAGTGGGCCTGGGGCCCTGCTCTCCCCTGCCATCCCCCATGTGGCTACACCAAGGACCAGGACAAGGTCAGCGAGGTGACATCTCACACTGCTTGACAGGTTGTTTCCCATGTGCTTTTCCACACTCAGATGCCACAGGCCGCTGATGGGAGAGTCAGGGGACTTTCCATGGGACAGAGAGACATAATTGACACGAACAACCACAGCTGGTCCAGCAGCCCTTTCTGCAGAGTTGGCAGCAGATAGGCCCTGCCATGGCTTGTCCCCATAGCCATACCTAACAGAACATTATGAGGTTGATCCTGTACCACCCACTTTTCAGAGGAGCATTCTGAGGCTCAGACTGATGTGATGACATTGTCAAGACCCACAGCCAGCAGTGGGCAGAGGCCCCACTGTGACGAAGAGGGAACCCGTGCTCACCTAGTTAACAGCTCGTCCGGGAACCACTGGGCTCTGGAGAAGGCCGGGTGGGTGGGCATCAGGGTGCAGATGTGGGGGATGTTTCCAGCCGGGAAAGCTGGTACCAGGGACCCCTCCACCTTCTCCAACGTGCCTTTCTGCAGGGCTCGCATCCTGAGTGCCTCACATAGTCTCAGAGTGAAATCAGCTGCACACTGGGTGGGGCAAGGAGGGACATCCAGTCAGCGGCATCACCGTGAATCCCAGGAGGATGGAGGTCTGGAGCTCACACAGGAGTCCCAGCCCCTCAGGGACGTGGGTAAGAGGAGGGACAGGAGTGTCCAGGCTGAATGAGGTTCTAGGTTTTCAAAGTTTCACTTTAGTTTGGAGGGTGGGGGATGTTCATACAATTGTGACCTGCTAGGCATGTTTTTTGTTTGCTTGCTTGTTTGTTTTAGCTGAGGAACAACAAACCTCCTTGTATTAATAGTTTGTATGAGGGGCATTGTCCCTGTGAGTCCTCAGGCCCTGGGCATCTGGGCTGAGGACTGAGACAGACTTGTGAGCAGCCTGCTCACCACAATCCTGTTTTGAGCCTGGCCACGGTGGTCAGGGGAGATGGATGTGGAGAGGGACAGGCAGAGTGGGGTGGGTCTGTGGTGGGGATGAGACTCTGAGCCCAACTCAGCCCAGCGTCCCCTCTGGGTCTCCAAGGCCAGGAACCCCACCCACTGTCCTCTTTGACTCATCTCTCCTTGCAGAGGAGCCACCGGAGCTCAGCCCTCCCTTGGGAATCAGAAGATGTGTAAGGTCAGGGTTCTGCCAGGCCCTGCCCTACCTAAGAAAATTTCAATGAGTGAGATTTCCCGGGCCAGGCTGGGAGCAAGGCAGCCGCCATCATCAGAAACTGCTGTTGGCACCGTCCCTGCTACAGCCCTTTGGGTTTGGAATATGCCTGCAGCCGTTACATTTTACATGTGCATATCCTTCCACCAGCAATGGGCGTCCATCTCCAGAGGGGGTGGTACATGTTGTGATCTGAATTGTGTCCCCCCAATTCCATGACTTTGGGACCCCTAGAACTTCATTATGTGTTTGCATTTGAGTTTTAGTCTTCAAGCAAGTCATTCAGGTGAAGTTAATTCAGTGGTGTGGGTCTCCATCTAATCTGACCAGTGTCCTTAGAAGAGGAGGGGAGGACACGTGGCAGTGCAGAGGGGAGTCCATGTGACACACAGAGAGAAGACAGCCATCTACAAGCTGAGGAGCAACCCCCTCAGGAGATACCAGCCCCGCTGACAGCACCACCTCTCACTTCTAGCCTCCGGAATTGTGAGAAAATGAATGTCTGCTGTTAACACCACCCAGTGTGGTCCTATGTTTTGGCAGCCCAAGCAAGCAACCTAACACAGTGCATTCCCACACACTGCAGTGTTCCGGGCAGCACTGCTGACATGGCAGCTGAACTGAATTAGGCCCATGTCCAACAGCACTGAAGGCTGCATCGCTGGCCAGAGGACCTCCATTATTGGGCCAGGTCTGCAAGGACAGTGGAGCTGAGTGCTCCACAGGATACTGGCAAGAGTAGTTTAAACAATAAAAACAGCGATAGGCAAAAGTGCTCCTGGTCTACCATGAAGTGAAACTATTATTTCACTCTAATATTTCCACAAATATGTGAGGATTGTCTTTCTACTCTCCCATGTAACTGGAGGGAGGAGGGGAGGCCCGGATTCCTCTGTCATGGGGCTGAGGCACACCCTAGGGGCCGTGGGAGGGCATCCAGGGTCCCCAGATTTGAGTCTGGGTTCTGGGCACTGCCAGGTTGTCTCAGGTTTGTGGGTATAGAGACCCTCAAGGCCAGTTCTCACCTGAGTCCGGCCCTGGATGGTGTCTGTGGCCTGATGCACCTTCCCTGGGTCGAGGGAGGTCGAGTAGTTGAACCCGTTGACCAGCCCTTCAGTGATGTCCCAGTTGGAGCTCTACAAAGACAGAGCCCAGTACCGGGCCAGGAGGCTTCAGGAACCTTCCACCCCAATCATCTGCAGCTCCCCACGGCAGCCCTGGCAAACTGAGACAGTCTGTTAGGACACAGTGAGGATGTTCCGGCAGCCCTGCTGAACTAGCAGCAGAGGTGCAGCATGTCACGGTCAACAACCCTGAAAGGCTGCGTCCCTGAGGAAGACTGCGTCTTTTATGGGATGATATGGAGGTGAGTAGTCCACAGCTCCTGGCCCAGTGGGCCTAGGGTGGTTTGCCCTGCTCTGTGAGATGACAAATTGCAGAGAAAAGTATCCAGTACTTTGCCTACTCCCATCTTTTTGACAAACCACCCAGTCAAGTGTGGAGGCTTAGAGAAGGTCTGCAAGGACAGTGGAGCTGACTGCTCCACAGGTTACCTGGGGCGAGTAGTTATAACATCAAAATAGCAAAATCCAAATGTGCTCCTGGCCTACTGTGAGATAAAACAACTTATTATAGTCTTTAAAATTCCCACAAATATGTGAGGAGTGTCTTTCTATTCTCTCGTGTAGCTGGTGGGGGCAGTGGAGGTCCAGATTGCTTTGTCATGGGACTGTGGACACGCTAGTGGGAAAGCCCTGGGAGGGCCCTGGGGGAGTTTGCAGATTGAAGTCTGGATTCTCGGCAGGCCCTGGCCATCTTGGGGTCCTGCGTGTGGAGACCACCCTGGGCCAGCTCTCACCTCAGACAGATACTGGACGGTGTCGTCAGCCTGCTTCACCTGCACCCTGACCTGGTTGGTGGTGTAGCTGGGCCCATAGGCCACCACCTCCATAATGTCCTCCTTAGAGGTCTGCAAAGACAGAGCGGGTACTGAGCCAGGAGGTGTCAGGAACCTTCCACCACATCTGTGTTCCTGTGTAATGGCTGACCTAGCACAATCATACAGTCTATTAGGACACAGTGAGGAAGTTCCAGCAGCCCTGCTGAAGTAGCAAGAACTGATTCACGTCAAGGTCTAACAACAGTGAAAGCCTGAATCAGTGAGGAAAACAACGTCCTCAATGGGATGATATGGAGATGGGTAGGGCCACAGCTCCTGACCGGGCCACATTTCAATGGTTGGCCGTGTTCTATGGGATGTGAGGTTGTAGAGAAATATATCCAATACTTTAATCCCTTCCCATTTTTTTTTATTTTTTTATTTTATTTTATTTTATTTTATTTATTTATTTATTTATTTATTTATTTATTTACCCAGGATACTGTTAGTGTTAGGGTTAGGGTTAGGGTTAAGGTTAGGGTTAGGGTTAGGGTTAAGGTTAGGGTTCCCATTTTTTTTTTAATACACAGCACTATTAAGTGGGATGATGTGTAAGGTTTGAAGAAAGTCTACAAGGACAGTTGAGCTGAGATTGGTCCACAGGATACTTGGGGCAGGGAGTTAAACATTTGAAATGGTGTGGTCATCTTTGGATTCCTTTTGTTTGGGGTTCTCTGTGCATCCTGGACTTGTAAGTCTATTTCTTTCACCAGGTAGGGGAAGTTTTCTGTCATTATTTCTTCAAATAAGTTTTCAATATCTTGTTCTCTTCTTCTGGCACCCCTATAATTCAGATGTTAGTGCGCCTGAAGTTGTCCCAGAGGCTCCTTACACTATCTTCATATTTTTGGATTCTTTTTTCTTTTTGCATTTCTGGTTGGGTATTTTTTGCTTCTTCATATTTCAAATCTTTGACTTGATTCTTGGGATCCTCTTGTCTGCTGCTGGATC